TCATTTATTTCATTATGAACGCATGGATTTTTAATTTATTATTTATAATTCAATACTACATTATTGATTTTGTTGCTTAAGTTGTTCCAGCTTTGGCCATTCTGAGCTCTTTCAGGTTGGTTTTGTGTTTCTTTGATGTACCTCCCCCCTTTCTTTTTAAAAGCACTTCCTTACTTTCTGGCATAAGATACTCTAGCCTCCTCCTGAATTTTTCTGCCCTGGCCCTAGAATCAGCCATCTCTCCAAGGAATTCTGGTTTCTTTTACTGGAGAATCGTATTTAGCAACCAAGATCTAGGCACTGGGTGTGCTTATTACTACGGGGTCATCATTGGTCATAGGCCCTTTCTGCAGACAACAGAGTATGTATGTGTGTATATTCACCCCTCTGTGTACACACACCTATAATGATTTCTGTATGCATCTGTCTGTACACATAAACATCACCTCACAGTAATGCCTCTAATTTGACAACACAGGGTTCATTCTAGCTTTCCCCTTTTGCTTATTTATAACTCCTTTCTTGGACAGTGAACCTACCTGTCATTACCCAGAGTTTATTCACTTATTTGTTCAACCCCAATATATATGTAAAGTAGTTTCAAAATTGCTACCCTGTGCCCAGTGAGAAACATCTTTACCCACTAGAGTGTAGCATTTATGTACAGTTTCTTTGGCCTTCAGCCTTACAGTTATCAATTGAAACTCCATTTTGCAAAGTTACTTAGGTCAGCTACATGATTTTGCCCACCACCTTCAGTGAGGTTACGTCATACAATTTTTTAATAGTTAGATTCATTTGTCTCAGCCTGCATTCCATCCTGGGATTCTCCAACATTAAGGTTGACTTTAAAAAAATGATTAAAAAATTATTATCCATTAAAGTTTATTCTTGATGATACACAGTCCTATAGTTTTTGACAAATGCATAGTCATATACACTTTCCCAACGCATACTTAACAGCTTCATAACCCTCACATCTCCACACATCTCCTGTACTTCCTTACCCCCCCCAACCTTTTGCAACCACTGATCTGATTTCTGTTCTTATAGTTTTGTATGGCCTAGTTTTTTTAAAAAAATTAAATGTATTGGGGTGACATTGGTTACCCCAAGATTATATAGGTTTCAAGTGTACATTTTTATGATACATGATCTGTATATTGCATTGTGTACCCACCACCCAAAGTCAAATCATCTTCCGACGTATGGCCTAGCATTTGATAACTTTTTTTTTTTTATACATGAAAATTGCTTGTAGGCAAAGGTTGTCTCGTTTTGTGATTGGAGTTAGTTGATACCAGGATTCAAGTCCAGCCCTGACACTTACGATGCCTTCTTTAAATGGGTATAATAATAGCCCCACCCTCTAGAAGGACTAAATGAGATAACATCTGTTGGCACAGTACCTGGCACATGATAAGTCACCAGTAATCGTGACAACAGTACTTTATATCTGTTGTCCTCTTCATCACCAAGATCATCATCACCCCCGGGGGGGTGGTTATAAGAAAAAAGAATGCTAAAAAGGAAACGCTGCCCTCTTTGGCTGCTGGTGGCCTTGAGAATGTGTGCATGGGCCCTCCTTTGGGGGCGGAAGGAGGGCATCGGGATGTGGCTGGACAGACAGGGTTTCATTTTCTCCATAAGCCTTCCCTCTTGTGTCTGTGCTGCATATTAGTAGAGTTGATACTGGAATTGGGTCTTCCTGAGGAGACAATCATCTGTCCATCATTCAAAAATTATCCTCAACAGATTTCAGGGCTTCATTTTGGCTTTTCTTCTACTTCCAAGATTTAATTTATTTAATTTATTTTTCTTCTGAAAAGATGGTATTACAACACAGAAAGAACTTTTAAAGAAGTAAATCACCATAATTGCAACACCCGAGTGAATGGATGTTTGCTAGTTGCTGCGACCCCATGCCTGAATTTTTACACAGATGTAGACATTTTATTTACTTATCATAAACATTTTTCCTTGTTGCTACATAGTCTTCATTATGCTACTTTATGAAGATATGACAGTTTCATCAAGGGGTCTCACAGTCCCTCCCAGTGTTTTGAGGCACAACTTCCTCATGAATACATTTTTTAAATTTATTTTTTGCTTCTGCTCATTTATTTCCTTAGGAGTATGTTCTCTAAAGAAGGAATTTTTTTCAAAGGATAGCAATATCTTTGTGGCTTTATTTGGAGCATTTTACAGAAATAAATCATTACGTCGTTTTTCATATGTTAATTCATATTTCATCAAAACGTAACCATTCGAAGATGTGATAGAAAATCTGGTGAAATGTTCCAGACTAGCAGCACTCCAACAGCTCATTAATAAATTTATCATCTGACCATGTAACGCTGTTTTGAAAATCATGATTTTTCCCTGATTAACTTTCCCTCTGTTCTCGCCACTCCTTCCTCAAAACTTCAAGTCCTCCTGCTCCTCCTCAGAACTTCTGGAGGGAATGCTCCCCAAGTCTCCCTCTTTTCTCAGAAACTCATCCTTTGTTTACTTTTGGAGTTAGGACTTGTTTGCATATGTAAAACCAGGACCATATTGTTTGCAGATGCAAGGGGCGCTGCCAGATAATTGAATGTAAAAAGTTGAGGCTTTTAAGTCATTTCTTACAAACCTGTACACAAAAGAATATTTTCTTAAAATTTAAAAAAAAAACAGCATGGAAATAAAGATTGTGAGATTTAGTTTCTAATTCAAACATTTCCCTCTGTGTTCTTAGTAGGGACAGTTGCAAATTCACAGAAAGTTAAGGACCTAGAAGTGGAGGAGGGGCCTAGAAGTGAGAGAGGGGAGAGGATTAGGAGATAAAACTTTGCAGATTCACCATCTGATCCAGAAAGATGAATGCATCTTAGAATAAATGACAGAACAAAAATTCAATACCAGTAATTTATGGTCCCTCTACTAGCAGTAACAGTAAGTTGTTTTTTTTTTTACCCTTTCATCAATAATTTCCTGTTTAGCCTTTTATTTTAACATGAGAGTAGCTTAAATGTAATTGTGTTTCCTATCAGTATTTGATAGAGCCCCCTTCCCCTTTAGGGCATTGGCCCAGATGTGATAGCAGTTGTTAAAAGGTACAGGTTTTTTAGTATTACATGCTTTTGTTTAAAAAAGGGGGGGGGGTGTTGGAGATTAGTGAGGCTTCTAGTCTGTCCAGCAACGATAAAAACAGATGAGAGCTCCACCAACAAATTGGCTTAAACTAGAAAGCTGCATTGTTTTTCCAGGTAAATTTTGAAATCGCTAATAGTATCTGCAGATACAATAGTGAGAAAGTGAGTTCTGAGGTTCCACCCTTGTTCGCATGCACAGGCAGCCCTGCAGCGTTGGGCTCAGTGCCGCAGTGCTCCAGGGACCAGTGTAGCAGGCCGGGGCTGGGGTGGTGTTTGCTGTGCCAGGTGTGGAGCTAATCCTCCGGTAACAATCCCACCCCCCTGATGGGAGCCCTGGAGAAGCTTTGGGGGGTTAGAGTCTGGGGGGCGCTTCTGGGGGATGAGGGTCTGTCTGAGTTGCTCGCGGGTCGCTCTGGGCCAGGTGGGTGGCTCCAGCACAGAGCAGGAGTGTGTTGCAAGGTGGGGATCTGAATTGGGGCTGAGAACCTGGCGTCCGGCCCTGGCCACGTTAAGATTTTGGAGGCCTCGTGGGCCAGAGAGGTGCGGTGAGGGCGGAGAGGCTGGGCGCATTTAAAGGCAGCACCCTATTCCCTCTGCCTGTCGTGGCTCTGCTTTCACACTCCTCCACCAAGGTGTCATGACCACACATCTGCATGTTCCCTCAAAACTTGGCCTTAATTCCATCTGCTGTCTGTTGCCCATCTGGAAAACGAGGGTGACTGGTGGACAGGGATGGAGGCTTTGCAGGCGGCTGGACCTAACCTGGTTGTGTGTTTTTTGTCTCTGGCTCCTGGTCCTGGGCTGCTCCAGCCAGAGACAATACAGGACTTGGCTGGAGTCCTGTCTTCTGTGAAAACTCCTGGCGTGGTCTCAAGGGCTCAGGACCAGGGTGCCCGTCTCACCTCCTCTAAAGCAGTGCTTTAAAAGTTACGTGTTCATGTTTGAAACTGAAGTACCCCTTCCGCCTGCGGTAGTGCATTTTTCACTAATGTTAACACTAAGGTTGCTTTGTTTTGCTTTTAGGGAGGTTTTGGGGGTTTTTTCTAGAGAAAAGTTAATACTTTGCATATTCTTGTCAGGACTCAAGCCTAGGCTAGTTTGGGGGTTGTGGACCAGTTGCTTTGCTTTCCTAAACCTAGACTTGGGATTTGGGACTAATTTCTTTTCTGTTTTGCACCTTGTGTCTCCTCAGCGAGGCAGGAACAATAATTTGGGTCTCAGGGGTTACTCTTAGGGGCAAATCAGGCAGTAATGGTGCCAGGGCTGTACTGTGAATTATCATAATATTAGAGCTGTGACTTCTGACTTGATTTCTGTGGTAACTTTCCCTTCACCTAAATCTAGCACAGGGCTGGGCTACTTGTTGAACAGTACAGAACCAAGTTTTCTATGCCAAGCATCCCCACGGGCAAGAAGAAAGGAAAAAAGTCATCATGGTGGGTTGGGCCTGGGCAGCGGGTCTGAGCTGAGTGGGCTGGGAGGGGCTGCAGACGGTGCCATCTGAGCGCTGAAACCTGCAGCGAGGGCCCTGCCGGCCTCCGGGCCCTGCCCTCCCATTTTCACGCTGACTGCACCGTCATTTTGGCTTTTTTTAATTTGTGTTTGAAAATACCGTAACAAAGCGGAAACCTGCCGCCTTTTTTTCAGGGACTCTGGAGTAATTGCTCAGTGTTTATTTTTGTTTCTCCTCTCATTCCAAAACTGTCTGTAGAATTTAATGACCTATTAAAAATGTCCTTAAAAATACCCCCACCACTGTCGATCGATCTTTTTGATACATTGGTTTTTGCTGGTTTTTCCACTTTTACCCCTCTGTGCTCTCAAACTCATCCTCATTTTCCCCCCTTTTCTTCCTGGTTCAGAAGTTGGAGGGACTAGTCAAGCTCCGGACTGTTCGGGAAGCGCCGACCGAGTGCATCTGCCCCCCGGGTAAGTGGACATTTGATCCTTGCTGGCTCCTGACTTCTGTAGGCCTGGCTTCTCTCTTGGTCTGTTCAAAACTGCCGAGGACATGATCGAGATTATCGCTTTGGGTCTTAGGCTGGTATGTTGTACCTTGCGGCCCATCCTGGGGCCTTTCTTCCTACATCTTCCCTGGCTGGCATGTCACTAGTCAAAGATCACAGCATGATTGACCACTTTGGTTTGATGGGGATGATGGTATTGGTGGGGGAGCTGAGAACCATTAGAAATGACTTATAGTGAAGGCTCAGATGCTAGGAAAGTACCAGCCAGTCCATTCTGAAGATGGAAAAACAGGCACGAACCAGCCATGGGGCGTTATCATTGTGACCTTAGCTCTATTTCAGATTTTGGAGGGTGGGGTGATAAATAATCTGGCCAAATAGTTTTTTTGTTTTCATTTCTTTTGATGGAGGTAGAGTAAGGGAGCAGGAAACATGGTTTGAAATATTCAAATAATCATCTCTCTCTTGGGTGTTGTTGGTGTAGACCAGTATAGCTGTGAACAGAACCAGGATTGGTTGATTCCTAACCCATGTGGCTCAAATCCTGATTCATATCAGGTCTTCTGGTTGTCCTCATGGGAGCTTTGCACAGACGACCACTGAGAATTTAGGTGTGTAGTTTTAGCCCCAGCATTTTTAGAGTTAGCATTAACCTCTCAGGATGGTGTGTAATACAGCGAATGAGTGGGAAGTCACAAGATTTCCCAGACTTCTCTCCATGTTGGACAAGGTGACAGAACAGGGATCATAGCAGCTGAGCCAGTGGCCCTTGTCCTTACTGTTATGCCTTCCATTAGCCAGGTTGCATGGCATTTCCCAATCTCCTTTGCTGGTCTAGAAACCAACCTCAGTGATAATCAACATCTCAAGGTTGGGAGATGCCCTGGATGTCTGCAAAGGTGGACCTCCTGGTGTGAAAATTCAGTCTCTGGAGGCCCAGCAGCACAGGACTTGATGGTCCAGCTTGAGCTAGCTTTTAATAATAGGACCTCCAAGGTTTTGATAGGAAAAGGGACATGGCAAGTAATGACACCATTACTTGTTCAATAAGTCAGAAGTTGCAATTCAGTGTGGGGGAAAAATCCAGACTCACAAATGAATTTTTGGTTGATCTGCAAAATGTATAAAATGGGAATGATTCCTCTTCCCCACCTCCCCTTCTTTCTAAGTGTTGTATGGATGTAAATTCGTGTGAGTTATGTGGATAAGTGTTTTTTAAACTGGAAAATACAGTGCATTTGTAAGATATGTTCTGTGGGTTACAGCAGAGTTTTGAAATGTTGAACTAGCATAGACTTGAATAAAAACTACTGGAGTGAAGTTTTTGTTTCAGCTATTTCTATTTTAGGCATGACCTGGATGGTGAATGAACTGGGTTTCATGCTGTGGGTTGCTGACAGGAAGTTTGAAAATCCCAAATACAGATGACAGATTGACAGGCAGGAGGAGGTAGGGAGTGGGCACGGAGCTCCTGAGTAAGTCCGAGCCAGGTCCAAACCTTGGTCTCCCACTTATTAACTATAGAGTCTTCTCCAAAAAATGATGGCACTATGGGAGTGGGCTCTGTAGGCTTTTTTGAAGTCATAGAGGAAGTACAGTCAAAGCCCATGACCCAGAGGCAGTCCTGTGTCCTGTCTTTCCTTAGGGGATCCCAAACCACAAAGAGAGGGTCTAAGAGGGTCCCAGGGAAGATCGTGGAGGCTAAAAGGCTGATCAAAACCTCTAGTCCCACTGACAAGAGGACAGTGACCTCCCCTGCTCTCTGAGGGGGGCCTGCTGGCAGTCAGCACTGTGCTGCTGTTGTCGAAGGGCTCGTGGCTGTCATCGAGCCATCTTGGCAGCTGTGGTCGGTGTGGCCAGGCTCCGATGCACACTCATGCCCATGCCTGCTACACTTTCTCTCCTGTCACTTCGAGCTGGAGGACTCACTTGGGCCCTTTGGACCAGAGCCCTACATTGATGCAAAACCCCGGAGGCTGGCATATCCTCCAACAGAGGCCTTTTCTCCAACACCAGAAGCCTTAACTCATTCCCTTTCTCCCCGGCTCTGATCAGGGAGATCCCTATAGACTTTTGGAGTCCAGACACACAGACCACCCTCCACAGCTTGGGTCTCCATCTGATTTGAGATATCCTCAGATCCCCCGGCCTGGCTCCTTCCCACGCCTGGAGGACAGTGTAATCTTTTGTCAGATCCTAGGATGCAGCAGACAGATAATCGAGGCCAGAGAAGTGGGCAGCTTGTCTGTGTGTGCTGCCCATTGTGAAGCGGCGCTCTGGGGGAGCCATGAGGCTGAGAGGAGGGGCGGGCTGTTGCTCCTGCCTGAGTCAGTGGCAGGGGACTGGCAGGGCTGGGCCCTGAAGTAGTCCTGTGACCTTGGACAAGTGAGGCGCCCTCGAGCCTTCTACCCCTCATCTATAAAATGATGTAGTGGGCTGAATTGTGCCCCCCTAAAAGATACGTTCCAGCCTTAACCCCCATTCTTATAAATGTGGCCCTATTTAGAAAGAGGGTGGGGCAAAAGTAGATTTACAGTTGTTCATATAGAAAATAATACAATAATTAATAAATAATTCTGGAATAAACTGTGTTTTGCATACTCACAACTATAAACCTACTTTTGCCCCCCCCCCCC